GCATTGTGGGGCCTTAAGGAACAACTGATTTACGGATGATCTCGAAATTTGCAGTTTTTCTAATTTCTTTGACTTGATAAATGATATTGACCATAGAATGCTACCACAAAACATCTAAAATGCTATTTTACCGAAATATTTGTTGTTATGTGATTGACGTTGCCGTAAGCAGTGTACAGAGGCCTGACAAGAAGTGTATGGAGGTAAGACAATTTATGCACTCTTTCTGGCATTGATGTGATAAGTTTAAATGTTTAGCTGTACCGTAAATGTTCAGAAAGAAAATACTTATATAAATTATGCTTACATATATAATAATTTCCTCCCCTGAGCCGCGGCTAGTGCATTTGAGGTTATGCGGGGCTATGAACTTTGAAGTTTTAACTGATTTTCATTATATACATTAATAATACAAATTTATTTCATTGAAAATATTTGTATTTACCACAATAAGGCCATTAGTGTGTTTATTTTACATTTTATCTTTAAAATGATGTCTACTATAGGTATATAGGTAACTCAAAACGCTGACTTGTTTTCATCAAAACATGGACATAACTATTGAAAAATCAAAATTTATGAATTTCGTAATCATTCTTACCTCAATCGTTTTTTATACACCACAAAGTATGTTTCAATAACCTTTTTAATTTTTCTCGCCGTAATAAAAATTCGATAAAACCCTCCTCCCTATTAAAGAAATTACTTAATGTGCATGCTGAAACTCAGGATTCGTCAAATATATTTTTTGTTTAATTCCTACTCCACTTCCCAGGCTGGAAGAGAGGCAGACTAAAGGGGGAAATTAGTTAGTTTTTTATTACAGTTGCATCATAATATACAGGGTGACTTCGAAGTTGAGTCATTTATTTTAACAGTGAGTAGATCTGATCAAAAGAAATTTTTTTCTCCTTTAACATTTTTCTGGTAAAATTAAATTAACAAAGTTATAGCCCTTTAGAAGTTTGAGTACCGCCCTGTCTCAATAATAATATTATGTGCTCGTGTTTGGCAACAACGGATATAATCCACCTTATCGGTTCATCGCATCGGAAACAAAAAAGCGAAAGAATTTGAAACGTTTATCACGATGTCGGTAACAATGTTTCAGTCGGTAACGCGTGAGTGAATAGTGGTGTTTGTTGCGTGGCTCAAACGAAATAAAAAATGGCACATGTTTACGAAAATACTGAACTTGTGAACTTGTGGACATGATTCTTATTTAATCGAGTGCAACCAACCCCTCGTGCCTTTGTTAATGTAGTACAAAGGGCTCGTGAATCAGGTGACTTAAGACCTCACAGAGGAGGGAATGCCGGTGCTCCAAGACCGCACGAACAAATACAGGTCCGCACTGAAATACTTGTCGGGAGGATACTTTATAAAACAAGGTAACATTTTTTTTTAATTTTTTTTTAATTTTTAAACACATATTTTGGTTTATCTTCCTTCTACAATCATTATCTGAAAATTAATGACTCAACTTCAAAGTCCCCTGTATGTGAATGAGGATAAAAAATTTTGCACTCGGCAGTTTTAATAGTGCTAAACTGTTTTAGCGTGTTATCTAACTAATGACGTCAACATTGCTAATTCCTAATTGATCGAAAATCTCCTTTCTATACGTCTACACAACAAACAAGTATACACATAGTTGCATTTATTTTTATCATGTCTGAAATTTGAAATAGTTCTTTCTCAAATTCAATGTATTCTTCGTCAAGCTTTGTCTTTTATTAAACACCGTCGCACCTTATACTTTCATAAAAATAACAAAAACAAATTTGAAGTTGTTCCAAAAACAGGAAACTATAGTTCTGTGAACACAACAAGTTCATTTTTTGCTAAAACTTTATTATCACGCACAGTGTGTTTACGGAAAATTTTTATGATGATAATAAATCATTCCATATGGTATCATAGTGTTTTGTAGTAAATTGTACTTGATAACATTTCATTCATAAAAAATATCCGGAAGCTCAATGAAACACTGTCACTCCGAAGCTTTTTCATATCAGTCTTTGATAAATACGGATTCAATTTAGTTGGTTAAGAATTATTCAATTGGCAGCTTACTTCCTACCAGCTTAGATTTGAATTAGGACTCGTACGCCAAAAGGAGGAAATCTCTCGCAAATCATCGGGCACACAACCAACACGACATGCTTAATAGCAACGAAATTGGACAAATCTGTACCCTACTTACTATAATTCCATACCACGCGGTAAACTATGGATTTATTAATTTCCACTAAATATCTTCAAGACTAGCTTATCTTCTATTTTGCTGTAACATCATAATCAAGCTTCATACAGTAAGTATTTAAGACATTTTTGTGATTATTTTATTATATAAAATATAATAATATGGGATAAACTATCAAGGCAAATATTTCCAAATACGAGACGGCAAAACAATTCAAATTTTGAGTAAATAGATTTATGTCCCTTGAAGTGAGCAGTGTTTGTATAAAAATTGTAATTAACAATATGAGAAAAATTTAAGAATTCATTTGAGCGTGATCCCTTCTTGTCAGTGAGTTGCCAATGTTCGCAAAGGCTACTAGATAATATGTACGAATAAAACACCAGATTTAAATCTTTTAATATATAATATCCTGTGTTTTCAGTAATCTTACAATAGGATTCATCCATAAAGTCTGGCAAAAAAGTCTGCTATAAACCCGGCGGACATTGCATCAGCGAACGCTCTGACTGACTAATGTATCCAAAGACTAGACAGACAACAAAAATAAGAATCTTCTAATATTCTGAAATGCATTTTCAGCAATATTACATTCGGATTCATTCATAAAGCTTAGCGAAAAAGTCTGCTATAAACTCAGCGAACATTGCATCAGCCAAAGCTCTGACTCTGACCTACACTTCGATTTCCACATGTCGTGCGTGCGTATTCGCCGTATTGTAGACGGGCGTCGAGCATACGACTACGGGGGAGGGGGGTTACGTCGTCCGTTCATTATACAATATGGATTTTCCTCCATGTTAATGAACTGTTCCCACATATAAAGTTCAGAAGAAGCTTTTACATTATAATTTTTGGAAATATAGAATTTTGTATATGTTCTTGAGCTCAGACCTAAGGCCTAAATGCCCGTGGGTACCGTGAGACTATAGGGGGATACAGGGGAAAGGCGATACTTTTCATATTTTTGTGTTTTCAAAATGCTACTTTGATAATTGATAATGTGTATTGATGGATAACCATTAACTGGTCGAACAAGCAATGCCTGGGAAAATTGTAATATTTGAATTTGGCGCATTTTCCGGCACAGCTTCGTCAGCCGGGAGCGCTCGTTTTCACGTGCAATCTCAGAATCAAATATCTTCAAACAAACATTCGAATCGAGCTGCTGCTTTATGGTTTTAGAATAGAATCAACTGATTAGCTGTTTTTAATATAAATTATGACATTGAGATTAAATCGGAAGGACTGTTGGAAAGATTTTACAAAATGGGCACAATGGCTTGAATGTCTAAAATTGCACTTTTATTCGCATTTTCAATGAAATCATGTCATTTCAATTTCCCTTCTAGCAGCCCCCCCTCTCCCGAATTTCCCTCAAGGTCCCCCCTGGATCCCGGCGATATCGCGAGAAGGTTTCCAGATCAGAGTGTTTTGCAGGAAGGGAAATCCTCTTCGATGCTTTCCCTTGCCATCCCGTAATGTACGCTAGCACTTGATCATGACACCAAATCACTGTCCCACGGTCGACTTTTTTTCTAAGAAAAATGTAGCAGCATGAACGCCAGAATGTTCCTACAAACATATCAGACCCTAAAGTTCAAAGGCACTTAAGGATACCTTTCGACCTTGACCTCAAAAACGTCAGCATCATTCAACTCATCCTCCTCCTTCTTACACACGGTTTTTCAATCACTGGTTAACTTTCAAGTTTGGTAACTATATTTAGGTTAATTATTCGTTGTCTGTAAATTCATTTAACAAATTCTGGTAAGTCAACCTGTAATTGCTGATCTGGCAACGCTGCTTTTACGTGAAAGTAGTTGACGTTCGACTTTTGTGTCCAGTGTCATCCGTGACAACTCATGTCACTTTCAAGTGAAAGGAAAGTGTCAACTACAACTTGTCTTCTGGTTAAAGTTAACTACAGGCATGGGACAAACCAGACCCAGCCCAGCCAGGAGTACTGCTCACATATCTGGGATGCTGCCGCTTCGATTTCGCTGTCCATGCGTCATACGCTTAGAGGAGGGCTGTTCGACTGACGGTCTCTAATCTCCCTCACACCGACAATTAATCGCTGATCTGTCTCTTTTATACCGTTACGCTAGCGGACTTTGCTACTATGACAAATCCTTCACTTCCAAAGTGGCTGCTTGAGTATAAAAAAAGATTTGCTTGGATATCATAGTGATTAATAACAAAGGATTTTTAGTAACATGCCAAAAATTTCAATAATATGACGGTGACACGGCCCTGAAAGAATCTGACTCCTTAAACGGCGACAAACAAGGTGGGCTTCAGCAAATTTCTGCACATCATAAATATGAGTATAACGTGATGTTTCCTTAGTTTCAAAATTACAACACATTGTACCTTTGAAGAAAATTTTAGACAGAAATTCGTTGAGACCTCTTAGGTTTGAAGAATTGGCGTTGAAAAAAGTTTTCGTGACTTATTTGAATGGCAACTCAGTGAAATGTGAAAGTCGAATACATGTCAATGAAAAGTGCAATTTTACTACTAGTTATAGAAAAAAAGCTACAGATGCACCTTTCGAAGAAAATTCTGCGTTTTATATAAATACGCGGATGGTTTAAAATTAGAAGCGGAAACAGCTTTGTGGAATCCGACTACCTCACACCCGAAATGCGTGTTCCTGATAATCTTTATATTTCATGGATCAATGGATAACCTACTACGTCATTTATTAGATAATCGATAAGTTAAACGAAACATGATTACGCCGGAATGGCATGGCCTACTATGTACTATGCATTGTAAAATGCACAACGTATGACGTATGCAGACGATGAATTTGAAACACGCGCTTTGAATGTTCGGTCTGTTTCTAAAATAAGTGCGTTGCCTGTCTGTGATAGTGAATCTTGTTCTAAATTTACGTTTCGGAACAGTGACATACATAATATACTATTCAGAAACACTGCGCTAAAAGTATTCAAAATGCTTCCAGTTTCTTTTCGTCTCGCGTGCCGGTATTCTCGTTTTTCGCGATCAATATCGTATAGAGGCGTGCTACAAGGTTATGTACTTGGACTCTCATCTAAGGTGTACATCGCCACTGAGTCGAAAAAACTACAAGAAGAAAACTTTGTCAATTTAGGTATTTTGAATTTTTTCTTATTTTGAAAAACAGATATTTATGTAATCTAGTGAATACATGCAGGTGAGAAAATCAAATATACGCAAATCTCATAGCAGTTTTCTTGATGATTCGACTGAGCTGTTTATATGAATCGTTGATAAAAGATAAAGGTAGGCTGAAACGGATATTTTTTTTACGCGAGTTTTGAGGGATACAGGGGAGAGAAACACGTGTGCATGTACCATGGTAGCGGTGGCTTTTCGATAGCGCATCGACTCACCCACCGATTGGCCAATTCTCAGGGGCTATACGATTGGGGCCCTGAGGGGGCAAGTCATGTGCCTGAACTCGATTATCAGATAGTTGGATTGCATTCGCCTAGGCTGTTTTAATTACAATGTGTGCTTAGAAGTGGAGAATGGGCCTAAATGGGGACTGTCGCAGCTCTATTAGGTTATTAATTGTCTTATTCTGACCAGCTGCTTCACTCAATGAATGCCTTCTTTTTTCTTCTTTAACTTTCTTTTCTGAGAAACCAGACATATTCAACTAACCTACGGACCAAACACTCACCCAGACAGGCCAACGACGAATACTTGTGAAGATGCCATTAGAGGAAAGTCGCCAAATATGGAGTACCATTTTCTTTTATGAATAGAAAGAAAACAGAAATGGAAACAGGTTAATATTTATTACTAATCTGTCATACATTTATATGTCGCAAATGACCTAACTCCAAAATCCGATTTTGTTCAGAAGATACAAAAAACTTCCAAGAAAAAAAGAATTAGTAAAACAAAATTAGTTTCAGGAATATTTTATTTTTATTTATTGCTAGATACGAGAAAATAATGGTGATTTTTTTTATTTGTAACATTCTGGCCCCACCTCAGATACAAAACTGAATCTAGCTGCTCAACAGTCTGGAAATGTAGATTTAATGTGCACGTAATGATCTGAATTGTCATATCATCCTAAGGTCAGTTGAGTGGAATTTTATAAATTACCACTTTACGAAAATGCGGATGAGCTTTCAGGTCTATCATGTCATGGTAGTTATAAATTAAATGAATAGATTATATGCATGATTAGATTAAAAAGATATGGCAATTAGAATATGTAGTCATAATATAAAGTAATTTATGTAAATCATTAAATAAGTTTCTATGATTTATGTAGGTAAATATAATTCGCTGGTGACGCTCACCATTTTTTTCTTCTACGTTTTGTACTTCATGATCATCTTCCTCATCAGAATCTGGGTAGTCTGCAAATAGCTGGCGAGCTTGAGGGGGCAACGCGGGATTCTTAGTCTGGAGAGGTTGAATGCTATTTATGATCGGATCGGAAAAGTGATGTCCTAGTTATTATGCGTCTATAACTGTTATTGAGCAGAATCGCTCGAGCCCTTACTACAGAGCCAATGTAAAACCAGAAGGGTGGAGTGGGAGACGACACAATGATGGCAGCCCCGCCGGCCGGCCGGAGTCTGATCACGTGAAGTATGCGTGGATATGTTTTGTTTAGAGTCTCCTTCTTCGATAAACGGATAATAGTTGCTTATAGATTTTTTTCTTGAAAATAACTCCTGATTGCAGCGAATATGAGTATCTACCTCAAGAGACCGGCCATTCAGGAGGGACTGCAGTCTTCGCTTCTTAGTCAGAGGTCCTGCGTCGGAAAAGTTCCTGGTTGGCTATCCCAGTACAGTAGATGTTACGTGTCACGAGGTGGGACAAAAGATGAATTTTCCCCTCTTCAACATTTCCACTAGGAAACGGTGCCCCGCAACAACTTTACTCTCTAGAAAATCCCCCCCCCCCTTTGGGGGAAACTTCGGAAACTGTTTTTTTTTAATCTCTAGAATGATCATGAGAACGCAAAACTCTTTCAGGTTCCGTAAGGTTCCGCAAAAATGGCAGTCCATAAGGATAAAACAACCCTATACAAATAAGGGAAATGTGAACTGTGCACCATTCGGAAAGTGTTTAATGAATACGGAAAGGGACCGAGGTAAAACATTCCAGAACTTCTTTTCACTGGCATGCACAATAATTTAATGACTCGTGATTGTTGTCAAGATTGGCTTTAAAGTGATGTTTGTTTACTCATATTGTACAAAGAGCACTTATCGAGTTAAAACGTCTTGTTTTGATCTTCCTTGGAGGACCTCTACAGAGTGTTTCAAATTCGACCTTCACCATTGCGATCTCGGAAACAGTAAGAGATACGAAGTCGTTTAAACAGGGCAAAATTCCGTGTTTAATCAACAAAATGATGACTAGAAACTTTCGGAAGTTAAAGTACAGGGTGGCCGATACGTAACTGACTGGTTTGGATCTTGAATATTTGTGAAATGAATTAAAATACGTCCATTTTTTTATCTTAATCTTTTATTGAAACTTAGAAATTACGTATGAAAAACAATATCAGACAAATGTCCGCCTCTAGAAGCCGCGCAAATCTGAGCCCTCTTGATTACATTTTCCATCACTTTTTGGTAAGTTTCCGTTTCAGGATCCGTGATAGTAAGAGAATTATCTGCAGCGTCTTCAAAGAAGTAAGGTCCATTGACACCTCCATACCAAACACCGCAACAAACTGTAACTCGACCAGGATGGATGACACGAGGGTTCTCTAATGCCCAGAGAAGACAACTCTGCTTACTAACAAATCCGTTTATAATCTATCTTTATGCGAAACTCTCGCTTGTTAAAAGACAAAACACAACAAGCAACAAACTTGATTATTAAACTTGACTCATTTCTGGTATAATTCAAACTTCAAACGAAAGCGAGGTCAAAGATCTACCATGGAACCCAAATATTGGATTAAGGTAAACAAATTCTAACAGTATTTACCTTCTTGACGCTTTTGGCAGCGATTGATTAATTGTCGTCGTATATAAACAGCGTAGTTATTCATTAAAATACTAAAGTAAGCACGTCAAAAATCACCATTATTCTCTGAAATACGTAAGCGAGAGATGATTGTGAACATTTTGAAACACTTTGCAAGCTTCGTGAAGCTTTTATCATGAAAATCATTGCCATCCATGAGGTAGAAGTATATTGTTCACTCTCAAAATAATAATAATATAAATGGTTTTTATAGCCAAGATAAGCACACATAAAAAATTACAAACAAAGCTCCAAAACTTTAACAAACTCTAGCTGCTTTCCTGACTAACGGCATTATTCTGATCTTACGGATCCATTCAACCGAAAGAAAATACAATGGTTCTCCACTTACACCTTACCGAGGTACCTTAAACGCAAGAAACTTGATCCGAAGAGAGTTGAAAAAAAACAGAAATGAAAAACTGTTTTATACACCATAAAAGTGACTGGCATTTTATATGTTTCATATTATACAGCCATCAGTCAAGAGAAAACGATCCATTGTTTTTTGTAAATAAATTCTTAGACCAACTTATGTATAAACTCGTTACCTTATTATATAGCCGTGCGGCATTGTAACATAAGAAAAAGAATATCTTCTTTTCTAAATAAGTATAGCATTCTGCCAGAAAAACAGTACGGGTTTCAGAAGGGCAGATCAACTCAAGATGCAATTTCTTATCTTCTATCACAAATAAATGCGGCTGTTGATACATCAACTCCAACTCTTTGTATATTTGTAGACTTGGCCAAGGCTTTCGATACCGTATGTCATCAAAATTTGCTAGACACGTTGGAACGTCTTGCTTTCAGAGGTATGTCCTACAAGATGATTTCTAGTTATTTGTCTGGCCGAAAGCAGTGTGTCACAATACTAGGCACTAACAGTAGATATTTGGGAACAAGCAGTGGCGTGCCGCAGGGCTCGGTGCTGAGACCGTTATTGTTCTTGCTATATATTAATAATCTGTTCGAGATGGAAACTGCTGGAGATATCATTAGTTTCGCGGATGACATGGCAATATTATATAAACATATTCCGTGGCACAGTCTAAAAGCTTTAGCGGAAAGAGATTTTACGAAAATTGTTGAATTTTTTATTGACAGAAGCTCTCAGTAAATTGGAACAAAACATATTTTTTACCACGTACTTCTTATGAACCCCACATGCCACAATATCAAAGGCTTATAATCAGGAATTTTACGACAGCATCTCAAAGTAGCGTGAAGTATTTAGGTGTTGTACTAGATAGCCATCTGGGATGGTCAGAACATGTCAGCCAGGTGGTTAAAAGAATACGGAGCTTAGTCCCAAAATTCAAATTATACTTTTCTATATTCAACCCAGATATTCTGAAATCTTTGTATTTTGCTTTTGGTTCAATCTCATCTCACTTATGGTATTCTTGCATGGGGTGGACTAACAAGTATATACCTCAATAAATTGGAAGTAATGCAGAAGTGGATACTTAAAATAATGCTTGGCAAACCACGTAGATATCCATCTGATGAGCTTTACAAAGAAGTGGGAGTATTTGATATCATACAATTATTTTTCCAACAGCTAGCCACATTTCAGCTCTTTCATAAAGGTAACTGTGATTACATTAATCATTGCCATAATACGAGACAACGGGACGTACAATTAAAACTGCCAAAAGTTTACAAAACAGTTGGCCTAAGAAGTCACAGGTACTTATGTCCCAAAGCTTTTAATGCCTTGCCCGAGAATATTAGGAGGATCAGTCAAACATTTCTGTTCAAGAAAGAATTCAAGTTGTGGATCTCAAATACTCCTAGGCAAAACATACATAATATAATATCTGTGATGATTGTATAGGTAAATGTATTGACACTGTTGCTGAGATGTCTGTATACTTACTTTGTCTTTTTATCAATTTTTCTCTCTTCCTCTGTTTTAGCGATACCGAATTTTAACAACATTATACGTATGGTATCAGATGAATATGCCAGTTTTTTCAAACATGTAAAATTAACCGACTGCAGACGATTTTAACGAATTTATATGCTTGTTTTAATCATGCATTTTCAAATTTTTACCGATTATGGATTACCTTACCGATTTTCTGACCAGTATTGTAAACCGATTTTAGTTGA